TCATAAATCATCTTCAAAAAATTCATCAATATTCATTTAAATTTGGGCACTGGTAGTCTTAAGGAATAAGCTTCTCAAGGCATTATCCAGAGTTAAAATGATACTTTGACCCATATCAGTAGGAAATGAAGTCTTGGGTAACCGAATAAATATTACCAGTTTCAAAATAATCTCTCTAAATTGGATTGATATCACCAAAATGGAATTTCAAAAATTGTAAAAATTTATTGTATAATATGTGCTTACTAGTTATTATGCCTAATAACCTTTGATAAATGCAATACTAAAGATTGATTATTTTTTAATTTGCTATATTTTCCTTTCTACTGGAACATCGATCTACTATAGGATTAATATAACGCCAGACAACCTCCTTAAGTTGGTTGCAACCAACTAACATGGAAACACGTCATACATAGTCGTGTCAGCCCTAACAACCCTGATAGTAAGCAACTTCCTACGAACCTTAACAAACTATCAGAATATCCTTATTAAATAATACAACATCTTCCCCTGCATCCTCCTGAATAGACTTAGCACACCAACTCTTGGAAATTACTCCAATGCGGCATCTTCAATCTAGTTGGAATTTTGTTAAACAAGTGTCTTGACACGGCTATCGAAATTTGAGGATCAACACCTCTAAAAAGAGAATAAACAAGTTTATTGTTAACGTCCCAACCGACAACACTGACAAATTCATCAATACGTTCTTCAATTTCTTCTTCTGTGATTGGTGCCCTTCTAGGATACATCTCATGTCGACCTAAGAACCTCTTCAAATATTGCACGTTGATAACTCTATGCTTCTTTGATATACTCGGTAAATCAACTTCTATGCATTATCATTAATCTTCTTCACTACCTTATATGACCCCACATAAATAGGTTCTGATATTTTTCATATCTGAAATGAGAGTCTCTATGTACTAAGACATAGTCCCCAATCGTCAATGTCAATACATTACGCACACTATTATTCTGAACTTCCATGTTAACTGCACTGTCATCCAGGGCATCCTGGACTCTAAGTGTTAACATCTTCATATATCTTGTCATATCTACTGCAACGAAGTTCCTAGTTGATAACTCATTACCAGTTTCAATCTTTCGTTCTAACGGCGACTATCCTACATCGGCTTCGAAAGGTGACATCTGCAATGTTCTGTTAGGCGTCGAGTTATATGCAAATTCAATATACGGTAGCCAATAATCCCAACAAGTGAATTCATTAAATGTATAAGTCCTTATCATACGATTTAACGTTTGAATAGTACGTTCCGTTTGACCATCTCTCTGCGGATGATTAGATGACGACTTCTTCAGCTCGATCCCTAATCTTTTCGTAAGTTCCTGGTACAAACCAGCGGTAAACCTCGAGTCCCTATCACTAACAATCGATCTTGGGAACCCATGGTAACAAAACACATACTGATATAACAACCGTATTGTTTCCACAATGGTCAATGGTTGCTTAGCTGTAATGAAATGTGCACGCTCAGAAAATCGATCCACAATGACCAATATGATTTTATTCTCTGAATCTGCAATTGGCAAACCTCCTACAAAATCCAAAAAAATATCCAACCATCCCCCCTCTGCTACCTCCAGTGGCATCAGTAAGCCTTGCTTCTTAGGTTTATGCGTCTTCATTATCTGACACTGCGGACATGAAGTAACATAGTTACGCACAGATCTGAATAGATTCGGCCAAAAATATCGTTCGTATATCTTATGATACGTTGCCAACACTCCAAAGTGTCCTCCGCACAAATTATGATCGTGATACAGATTCAGTATTGTCATCCGTTTTTTCATTGGAACAATTACTATATATATATAATCTAACACATTCTCTTCGAATGTAAACCTCGATCCATATGACATTGAAAGCCTTAGCTTTTTCACAAATTTCTCAAACACGGCTTCGTCTGCTTTTGCTATCTTAGTATTATCATCAACGCCTAGATATGCAATGGCAGCTGCGCTTAGAGGGTCTTCTTTTCAGTAACTATACCAGCTTTTCAGATCCACTCGTCCAATCTCCTCGATCATAGCGGTAGTCTTCTCTAACGTCCGTGTATTCTCTGTAGGTTCACAAACCATACGAGAGAGTACATCTGCTACTACATTTTGAGATCCTGGTAAGTATTGCAACTCGAAATCAAAATCAGCCAATACATCTATCCATCTCTGCACCCTGGGCGTAGGTTCTGTATCCCTCTTCAGAGATAATAGGCTAATATGATCCATTCTCAATATAAAATGATGTCCATGCAATAAGTACTTAAAATGCTTTAGTGCTTCAATTATTCCCAGTAGTTCCAATTCACACACCGGATAATCCCATTGAGCTCCTCTAAGTGACTGAGAATAACATCCCACTACTCCAATTTTCTTATTCTTCTCATCAATTTCCTCCAAAACTGCTCCTACACCAATCTTTGATGCATCCGTTGTCAATCGATACCTGCTTTCCTCTTTGAAAGCCACTACTAACACGGGTTTCGATGTCAACGCACGTTTCAACTCTTTAAACGATCTCTCCTGCTCCTGCTTCCATGGGGAAGTCTTCGTGATAAACTCTTGAATAGGTTTAGCTACTCTCGAACAATCCTTAATGAATCACCGATAGTAATTGATCATTCCTAAGAATCTTTGAGCCTCTTTGGCACTGGTAGGTGTCGGAAATTTATCAATCGACTCGCATTTTCCTTGTAATGGTCTGATCTGATTCTCACTAATATAATACCCAAGATATTCAACTTCCTTGGCAGCAAAATGACACTTCTTCTTTTTCGCAATCAGTCCTTCCTCCTTCAACCTTTTCAATACCTTATCCACATGCTCCCAATGTTCTTCTAACGTTGCGGAATGAATCAAGATATCGTCTAGGTACACATTCGCGAAACTCATATCTCTAAACAAATCAGCCATATACCTTGAGAAAGTACTAGGTGCGTTTACCAATCCGAATGGCATAACTTTATACTCGTATTTTCCACTAGGCGTTACAAAAGCTGTTTTGTATTGATCCTTTTGTTTCATTGGTATCTGGTGATACCCACTATGAAGGTCTAATGTTGTAAAAACCTTTGAATTGCCAATCTTCGCTAATGATTGTTCGATTCTTGGTAATGGAAAAGGATCTTTAACGGTAACCTTATTCAGCTTCCGGTAATCTACACATAACCGATAAGTACCATCCTTCTTCTTAACCATAACGATGGGCGAACTAAATGGATATTTTGAAAGTTCAACAAACTCCTTCTGTATCAAATCATCTATGATTCTACTTCTCTTTCCATTCTCGGAGTTAGTCTGTCCGGTTGTGAGTGTGGCATTCTCTCGCTGTCCAGGAATTACCTCGATTTCATGTTCATACATGTGTCTGAAACGGTGTCCTTATATTTTGTTGATGCAGGTTCCACTCTGAGAAGATACTGTTAACAGTTTCTTGGTTGTCATTCAATTATTGATTCATGTCAAACTATATTATTTGGAAGCTAATAATTATTTGTATTATTCATTTATTAGATAGAGGGCAGGAATAGTTTTATTAATATTGAAAATTATCCCTTTATATAACTTAGGGTCTTTATTTAATTATTCTAAGTATATTCTGGTTTTTCAGCTTTACCGGTTTACCGGTTTGCTGATTTACTGGTTGTGGTTGCTGTGCTTCTAACGCTAACCATATTTTAACTGCTTGTTGAAGTATCGTATAAATTCTACCGATAACGCAATACCTCCGATATTATATGTAATATTTCTGTAAAGATATGATTATAATATAAATCAAACTGCTTAGGGTTTGCAAATACATTTTATTTTATTAACGATTTCATTGATTTTGTATAGTCATGTTGATTTTTGTTAATGAAAGATATTTACAAGAAGGTTCTAAAAATAAAATTACCATTTTAACAATTATTGTTTTTCTATTATTCCGTTGTCCTCTCAGCTGTTCTTACTTATCAATCACATTGATATAACTAAGGTAATGAAATCAAAGGATAGATGGTTTCTATAAGTGGGTGAAGCCAATTTGGTGGTTCAAGCTTTTTATTATATGACAACCTTTTGACTAGTATACAATTATAGGTATATAGAATAAATATAAGATATTAGACTCAAGTCTGCATAAAGTTATATCGATATCGATAGCTTTTTGTATAGTTCGCAAAGTTTAAAATAAGTAGGAAATATAGGATCACTTGAATGAACAAATAATCGTTGTTGTTCTGTCACCCCAATATATTATTATTTTCCATTGGATAATGTATTATTTAAAGTCATTATATTATACCACAGACTAATATATCTATATAGAACACTGTAAATATTCGTCTTTTCGAAACATAATACAGAGTGTCTCTGCCGCACTTACACTTGTTCCTTGTTCCTTCCAACTGTTTGCCTTAAAAGGTAGCGAAAAGGTTGGCCACAGACCCACGCATTAGCTCGAAATGATTTTTAAGTTCAGCAGAGTTATTTGAGCACGATCTTAAGATCCTGATGAACCCAAGCACACTCCTGCAACTTTCCCCGGCAACTGCAAGGTATCCATGGAAGCTGTACAAGGTACACTACGGAGTAAAAAGGAACGAAAAATTTTCATTCCTTCTCCACAACCGCTTCCAATGTTTTCCTATCTTGTAAAATTAAAGGTATGAAATGGTATATATACAGGAATTATTTCAGTTACGAATACTGTTTCTTGAATTTCACGATTAAGAATTATCAGATACCAATTTCTCTTTAGACATATAATCAAATGTGTTTTACTTGCGCTATAGATAACTCTTGGTATAAATATATTAGTACTATTGTCTGTGTTTTACAATTTCGCTCTCAGTTTCAATATTGATAACATTGCATTAGGAAAAGATGAAGACGTTGCAGTAAATCCAGAATATCGAGGACAGTATAAAGGTATTAATATTGGTGGTTGGTTGGTAACTGAACCATACATTACACCATCACTATACAAGGACGCTATGGCTCTGGCAAAGAAAAAAGGATCAAACGTGACTATCATTAACGAATACACTTTATGTGAAGCATTGGGATACGATGATGCTAAGGAATTATTAGACAATCATTTCAAAACCTGGATTACCGAAGAAGACTTCAAGAAGATTAGTGAAGAAGGGTTCAACTATGTTAAGATTCCCATTGGATACTGGGCGTGGAAGATTGACAATACAACTAATTTGTATCCAGGCAATCAGACTTTCAACGACCCTTATGTGAATATCAATCAAAAAGAATACCTTAACAAGGCTTTAGGCTGGGCATTAAAATATGATTTGAAAGTGTTTGTGAATGTATATGCAGTTCAAAATTCAACAAATTACTTTGATTTAGATTTAGAGAATTCTTTATGGGAAAATCAAAATGGAATTAGAGTAATTTCTTCAATTCTAAAAGATTATTTTGATTATATGTTAAACATAGATTATCCATCTTCTTTGGCCAGTTTGGAAGTTACATTTTCCCCGATGTTAGCTGTATGGCCAGCTGAATCCTATCAGATTAACTTTTATACCGACCTTTTTGACTACTACCAAACCACAAAGGACAGTATTAGTAACCCAAATCCAAATATTACCTTTACTATTCAGTATAGTGGCCCAGTCTATAACATGACATACCATGACTTGGATCTCGACTTTTATAATAGTTCCAGTCCTTATTACAAGGGAATCGAATATAAATCAGATTCGCAAATAGCTGAATGGGATCAAGTATTTCTTCAATATCGTTTTGCAGAATCCCATGATTTTGACATTGATCAATCCATTGAAAATATTGCACATAATTTTAACTATAAGAAAAATATCACCGGTGAGCCAGCATTTCCTATTACGTTTGTGGGTTCCTGGAGTAGTACATTGACTGATTGCACACCTTGGATACATGGTATTGGTTATGGATCATGGTACGATGACACATACGATGAAGATACAAATTATGAAGTCAAAAATGAATACGATGATATTGACTATGAAAACTATGAAAACTATACCTGTGTTTCTCAAAATCAAATTGAGGAATGGCCTGAAGAATACAAAATTCAAGTAAGAAAGTTTATTGAAACTCAATTATCGCATTACAGTACTTATACTAAGGGATGGTTCTTCTGGAACTGGAAAACTGAAAGTGCATCTGAATGGGATTACCAAAAATTGAGGGACCACGATTTGTTTCCACATCCATTTGACAATTTTACGTATTATGAAGCGAATGGTGAATTGAAGTTGGCTGATTCCGATAATGAAAGTTCTATATCCTCTGTTGAAACGTCGTTAGGTACCTCTTCGAGCAGTCGTATTAGTACCGTAAGTTTAGATATGGCCCCAACTTCCAAATCATCAAGCAAGAGTGAGAGTTCAAGTGTTTCCATGCGTGGTGGTAAAACTAGCTCAACCAGCTCGACTCATGTCAGTCAAAGCAGCTACACCAGTTCAACTCATCCCAACAGCACAAGTGCTTCGCACAAAAACGGGTCGTATACCATTAAGAGTCCTAGTATTTTTGCTTCAATATTTTCTTGGAGTTTAATGATGATATGTTTTACTTGCGGTATTATGTTGTTTGTCTAAATAATCAGAGTTATCGAGGCAGTATTGTAATATTATATACTTTTATGCACACGATATCAATAAATATGTAAAATTAGCGGAATTGAAACTGGAACTGTTGAGAGAAGGTTTGCAGAAGCAGCGAGACAGAATTGAGTTGGAATCAGATATGCCTCGCATCCCATATTGTTATAGATTTATTGGAAACTTATGATAAGTTGAAATATTATTGACACAGAAGGATATAAATTCGATTATCGCACTTATTTTGGGCTTACTTAGAAACTGAGTAACAATAATCGAACATAATAGATCTAAATTTTTGTTCAGATCCTATTTGTTGTACCTCAATTATACAATTCATAATTGAATTTTATCTCTTAAAATATCAATATCATCACAGAATCCCATTTATACCAACTCTAGTCATATTACATCATGATTTTGTTTAATTCGCTATACTATTAATGATGTATTAATTGGCGTTCTAATCAGGAATTTTGCAACTGTGTCATTGCATAGGTAGAATGGGGTTTAATCCATGTGTAGTTTAATTTATATATTATATAGTGTGTACTTCTGATAGATATATTATCACAACCAGGTAACAGAAGATAAGAGGGAGGATGAGAGGACGGGGAAATATTAAGAAGCGGCCCATATTATATTTATGATTGAGCTCTGAAATTATATGTACAATTTTTCAAGTGAATTCCTTGTGGCAGATATATACACATTGGCAGCAGGATCCTGGATTCTAGGAAGACATTGGATTGTTATTGAAGATTTAGTATTCAACAGAAACATATACCTTTTGATAAGTTGCAGTGTTAGCATCTAATACATATCGAACAGTTCCATGTTATTAGATTAAGTGTGTGTTAACATATATCAATGTTACAATTACTTCTATGCGATTGTTTCATTGATATATGTTGAAAACCTAAATTCTAATTGCATCACCGAGAGATATTATTGCAAACTGAAAATATTTTTAATTTCAGTTAATGTAAATTATGGCATCCAAATGTTTTTTTCTTCTTAATCGAATTAACAGTTTTAATTAAATGGATCAAGTTGAATTTATTTCCTTCCCAAATTAGTGTTGAAGTAATATTCGTATTATGTTTCAGATTTGAAATATTTATTTTACCTTACCATAATTGATTAAAATATTATACTAATTTTCCTGATATTAATGCCAGTGATTTATTTCGGTATCAAACAGTCAGCGCATTGAAATATAAGTATGCTTTAAAGTTTTATTTTATAAAAATATTCTTTTTTATAAAAATATTCTTTTTTGGATGGAAGTGGTAGTAGAATTGGGATTGGAAAAAATAATAAATGTAGCAAAATATGTTAATTTACGGAATATCAGATGTTTAGAGGGAGAACTTGGTTGGGAAGATAAGATTGTTAAATGCCACATTGTACTATAATTTAGGTAGAGATATTGTGTGTATGGATTATTTGATTATGAATATTTCGTGTAGTATATTAGACTATATACTAATATTTGGTGATATGATGACGGATATTACAATAATGGATTTGATTGGGGGATACCAGCTCTTCGAAAAAACAGAAATATCAACTTGTGAGTCCAACATTATTCACAAAGCTAATATATTGGCCAATCAAATAAATATAATGAATATGGAAAATAAAATCTATTTCTTTGTTTATAGACAATAAATATTAAAACATTATGTAATAGATTTATACAATGATTATCAATAATATGAAGATTCAAAATATGAAAGTGATATAACCAATTTAACGTATTTCAAGAAACAATAACTCGTTGGAACCTATACAATTGGTTAGTATTGAATTTTGTGTGTTGGAATATGTTCAGTATTAGAAATATGACCAGCAAACCAGCAGGATGGAATAGGCAGCAACTAATTAGAATAATTATATGAAATGTTAAAGCTATATAAAGTGATAGTTATTTATCTTAATAAAACTATTACTACTAAGATATATTTAATATTACAGTTCATTTGGTATTGAAATTAGTGGTAGGCAAAACATATTTTACAATACCAATCACATTATTAAATGTTTATTAAGTTCAAAATATTTAAATATAACATATGTCAAAGGGAAGGATTAATACACCAGAATACGAATACAATGTAGTTGTAGTATGTATTTTAATTGGAGAGTTGTATATAAAATAATAATGTACCCCTTCTTAAAACTACAATTGTGACTAAATTGGTGGTTGGTATCCTTTTGCTTTGGCATTTCTTAGAAAACATTAATGTCAGTTAAATCACTTCTATTTAAGTAAATATAGATAACAACTTGAAGCAAGCATATTATATTAGAGAGTCAGTGGATGCATTATTATACTGTCTATCTGTGATGTATTGTTTGGTCGGTATTTGGTAAGTTTTAATTATTATATAGTTGTATAGTTAATTTGGTGTACATTAGAATAAAGTCTGTTATTCATGTATTCTAGAGAAACTTAATGTGGAGATCTGTATTAGAGAGTAAATATACTACTAATTAATTTTGTTGTTGATAGATCTTTTAGATGCAAGTTAACGTACTAAATAGTATACAATGGTATACAATAATATACAATAATATACAATAATCACTCTTTATAGCAATAAATGTAACTGAAGTTAGTTTTGGCAATTGTTATTCTAATTATTCCATTGAATCGCAGTAACCTTACTATTTAGGTATAACTGCACCTCTATTAAAAACACGGTGATATAATTTATGACATCCTTATGTGATAAGGATTTGGTATTGATTACGCTTAAGTACAAAGGGATAAAAATAACGAAAGAGGATTTAGTCATGTTTCATGAAAAGCTTGACACTAATAAAGTACCAATGAAATGTATATAAATGAGATAGTTCCTGAAGTAAAGATATACACTTCTTGTTATTAAAGAGATGACGATAAAGATCTTTATATATTTAATATTACTGTATAGTTATTATAATAGTTTTATAACCTCATATATCTTTTAACTAATAACCTTAAGTAATTATATCTAAGGCTTCTTTCCCTATATAAATACATTAATACATTAATATTTAATATTCCTGACAAAAAAATTCAAAATGATGAAATTTATGTTTTGTTAGTTTTATATTTAGTGCTATAAATATTATTTATTATCAGTTGGATAACAAAGAAACTCATATAAGAAAAAATATTACAAAATATAAAATTGTATTTTGAACTAAAAATTGTAAAATTATTTATATTAATATATAAGAAAGAGAAGAGTTATAATAAAATAAGTTGAATTATACAAGTTAATTATATGAATAGATGTAAATTGATATAATGCTATTGAAAGTATATTAAATGAATTAGTTCTGTGACAGAAAAATGGAAATGAGAATGGTAGAAACTGATATTATTCTGGTTTGGATTTCTGTTAGAGGGATCTTAAAGTCTTATGAGGTGGGAATATATATAATTTAGTGTGTTTTAAATTGTGTATGATAAAAATATAAGGTAGTTTAATATCCAGGTGTCGAGATAGATACAACAGTATAATGATAGATACAACAGTATAATGATAGATTAGTTATTATAACTTGTAGTAGTACCAATATTAGAATGTGAGTAGGAAGATTGGGATAATTATTTGTGTTGATTTAGATTATTGAAATAAATGAGATAGTAGATTATTATTTTGGTGGGATATATGAGTTTAAGGCAAATGTGAATATTAGATTGTGACAGTGGGGATAAGAGGAGATAGAGTTGAGATGGTGAAAAATTACAACCAGAAATGAATTCACAAGCAGTGAATTATATTTATTAGATTTTAAGTCGAGCAATTGGAGTTACTATTAAATTTTTAATTTTACCAAAATACCATAGTTAAGGCGAGATTTTTGTCTTTTCATCTGAAATATTTTATTATGGGAAAATATATTTCATAGTGCGAGAAGAATCCCATAGTTAAGGCGAGATTTTTGTCTTTTCATCTGAAATATTTTATTATGGGAAAATATATTTCATAGTGCGAGAAGAATCCCATAGTTAAGGCGAGATTTCTATATTTTGGGCAGAATTGCTTTATTATAGGAAGAAATTTTATTTTGTTCTTAAGGCTGGATAGAGTAAAAGTGCGTAGCCCAATATTAGGTAGTATTTTTCTCGGTTTGGTATTATTTTTTAGGATGGATCTTGGTTGGGCGACATGGATGAGAGTTGGTTATGTTTTTTAGGAAACGTGACATGGAAACAGATTTTCGCGGGTCGGTGTTGATTGTTAGGAAGGGTATGAAGTGCGCGTTGGTGATATTTAAAGTGATGGTTATGGAGGATAATGTTTAAGGTAGTGATAGCTAAAGTGATGGTTGTTAAAGAGGTTGTAGTTAAGTTGAGATAATGAAATTTGACTACAAAGGTAAAGTGAACATGGAGATTAAGATTATTGAATAAAAAATATACTTAACAATAAAAGTTGGTCTAATTCATTAAACTGATGGTTAGACACAATAATCATTAGTGACAGTATGATAAAAGATGAACCAGTTGAGATGGTGAAAATCTAAGACCAGATATGAAATCACAAGCATTGAATTATTAATATCAGATATTAGCTTCAACAATTGGAGTGACTTTAGATGCTAATTGATAGGGCCTTAACAGCTGAGGTAAGGTCGTATGAAGTGATCAGATTATTGAATAAATATAATAATGTTACGCTACCATATTATAAATTGATTCTCTGCAAGTGGTTCTAAGAATATACGTTTGTGCGTTTATTTCTAAATGATATATTCCCATGTGTGGTTCCGGTGTTACGTGATCCCTTCCCGTGGTTATATGATAATAAGTGGCCCGCTTTATAGGGATGGTTAAAAGGTGTGATTTATGGATGTGATTTATAGATGTGATTTATAGGTATTATTTATAGGTTTGTTTTATAGGTTTGGTTTATAGGGTTGATTTATAGGGTTGATTTATAGGAATGGTGTAGAGGAATGGTGTAGAGGAGTGGTGTAGAGGAGTGGTGTAGAGG